ACGGCTCTGGGCCCCCTGAGGCCTCCTCTTTCTCTCTGGCATCAGTGGAAAGTTACCGAGATGTCACCCCAGCCATTGGCCGTGCCATCGTGTCACCTTGCAACATCAGTCAGGTTCAAGCAAGGTTTGGTCCCTTGGAGAATGGCAAGTGCCATTCAGGGAGGACAGCAAACAGATCAAGTGCTGGTGTTGAGTTACCCTGTGAACAGCCTGTTCTGATAGGCACCGTTGTTCCAAATCGTTGAATGGGCAACCCAACAAAAGGGCCACACACACACAAACTTGAGAGCTTCACAAAGAGACACCTGTCCTTTGGCGCCAACCTGTCTAGGCTAAGTTTGCTAACAATGGGGATGGCATAGGGGAGAAACCCAGGATTGCTCTCCAATGCCACTGGGATCCTTTGGTTACCACCTCTGAGGCCCTTATCAATTCCCATCTCCAAGTGTCCTACTAAAGAGAAAAGGGCTGGAATGGAGCCATCTTTAGACCAGGCCATCCCATTGCACAGCTAAGGGCAGTTAAGATTCTGGTGGGGTCTGAAAGCCACAAGTCTAGATCCCTTGCAAAGCAGGCACTACCCTGGTGCCTTTGGGCAGAGAAGGGCTGCTCTCTCCAGGCCACCCACCAGCAGCAAAAGAGAAGTCCAGTAAGAATGAGCGTGTTTGAAAAGAAAGGCACCAAAACTTAAACGTGTGAGGAAGTTGAGTCAGGTTCTCGGACCTCTTTGCTTGCATCCCCTAAGCCCAGACATGTGGAACAGAGATGGAGAACCCTTTCAACTTTGGGGACTGCCTTCCCTCCTGGCCAACCTTCCAGGGGTCACATGACAGCTGTGGTCACGGCCAGAAGCAAATGTGGGCGGAGCAACGAAAGTCATTTGTACCACTGTGCACCAGGCTAGTTTCCACACACACTTGTAGGCAACTCTTTTTTCTCCACCCAGACAACCAAAAGAAATTATCAGAATTCAGGGACACATTACATCCAGGTAAAAGAAATTCAGGGAGGGTGTGTAGCAGGGCAAGTAGACCGTGTGGCTGAGGAGAAGGTGTGAACTGATCCTGAGGGCCACATTGAGAGGCTTAGAGGGCCACATTTGAGAGCTGGGACTGAGGTTTCCCACTCCTGACATAGATGACTCAGAGTCACCCATCAGATGGCTGTTCAGAGGTGATCTCTTCTTCAGCCACGGCTGCATGCAACTGCATTCTTGAAAAGGACGGGCTGTATCCTTATGTGACCCAGCCTCACTGGATTTTATTTGTGCATCTGTTTATTTCTATTACACTCTTAATCCGGCCTATCCTCCATTGAACTGAAGGCAGCACACATGGTATCCCCATTTTAACCTCACAACGAGCCTATCAGGGAGTCCACACTGAGAAATAGCAACAGGTCCAAGGTCACCCCGTACGACCTGTTTATCGAGCGTTCACTCCGATTTGCTTGCAGGGAGGTTAGATGACCTTTCATTAAAACAAGTGCTATCCCACACTTCCCAGCTGATTTTACCCACCTCTTTCCCCATCGTGAGAAATCTGATCTATTGGGGGAGCAGGTTTGTTGCACAAGACCTCCCCAGTCAATGTTAATTGTGCAACCTGGATTTGCCAGCATGCGATCGAAACCCACCGGAAAACAGTGACAGTCCAGAAGGCCCTCAGCAAAGCTTTGTCTGTGAGCAGACATTTCAATTCAGGTCTCCCTGGTCTAAGAGCGGCACTCCTGCCATAGCACCACAGCTGCATGCAAAGGTGGCAAAATGCTTCTGTTTTGTGTGCATCGTCCACAATGTGGATGTGGAGCGCTGATGGCACTTCAAAAATAGATCCCTATTTTAATGAACAGATTGTTCCTGCAGCATTATGACACATCTGTACTGCTGCTTTTATGTAGGAGAGGTGGCGGGTGAGTTCTGGCTTGGCGCCAGGGCAACGATTCCCAAGGGGAACCTTCCCTTCCTGTTAGGAGGTAAGAAGGAGACTCAAAGCTGCATTTCCCAGGGCAATTGCTTGGCACTGGGCACTGCTGCTCAGAGGAGCTAGGGCTGTAGCTGGTGGAACAGCAAGTCCCTGGCATCTCCAGCTAGAGAAGGGCTGAGAGACATCACTATTTGAAACCCGGGATAGTTGCCGCCAGCTGGGGCTTATACCAGCTCTCGCAACCTGTTGGCTTCCGGATGGTTTTGACTACAACGTCTATCAGGCTCTAGAACAGGGATGTCCAACAGATCGATCACGATCTACTGGTAGATCCTTGGGAGGTTTTGGTAGATTGAGGTCGATCGCTGGGTCCCTTTCCTTAGTGTTCGTAAAATCGAATCTGGCCCCACCCCCTCGACCCGCTCTCCATTGTTGCAGAACGGAAGATGGCGTTTACTTAGTGAGGCTGTTTGTTTCCCAGTGATTTGTTGGTGAGCGGCTGTTCCTCTCCCGCCCCCTAAAAAAACCTTAAAAATAGGGCTTTCCTCATCCCTAAAAAAAGCTAATCAAAGTAGCCCTGTACCCCTACTAAAAAAAGCTCAAAAACTTTGACCTGAACACGCCCCCCAAAAAAGGGGGTAGATCACTGCCAGTTTTTAATTCTGTAAGTAGATCACAGTCTCTTGGGAGTTGGTCACCCCTGCTCCAGAAGAAACTTGTAAAGGGCCCTGAACAAGTTGCTAGGCAACGGAAAATTTCCCCAGCAACAGGTGCTCTTATCAAGGCACACAATCAACTAAGTCTGGGTCAGTGTAAATGAGCACGTGGATGAGTCAGCATTAGGTCTCTGGCTAAAAAGAGGAAAAGACTGTTGTTTCTTCATTTGCTTTTGTTTTCTGTTTATTAATGACCAGTGTAAAGTTTTGTAAATAATAAAGGCTCTGAGAAACAGAAGCCGATGGCGTTTATTTCTGTAATGGGAATTTCACAAAGAGATAGCTGGAATGCTGCTGATGTTGATGTAAATAAGTTAAAGATGCGGGGAAACTTTTCTGTAAAAAGAACTCTGCTGCAGAAAGAAAAGAAAAGCCAAGAGTAGATGTCAATGGTCAGGGATGATGGGAGTTGTAGCTTGATAATGTACAGAAGGCAGTGGCGGCTGATTCCCATTGGGGCTGGTGGAGCTGAAAGCAGAGAGCCCAGCAGTAGGTGGAGCAGAGCCAATGGCAGACAGAACTAACGAATGTTACTTTTGTCCCCATCCTCCACCTTGCTGAGGTCTACAAGGGCAACACTGAGGCTAAGGAGGAGGAAGCTGACAGCCCCAGCCACCATCTGGGCTGGTTATATGCAAGAAGGCAGGTGGGCAGTACTGAGACCCATTTGTCCTGATGGACCAGCCTCCACTGATGGAGCCCATGTTAGGCAAGGCTGGTGTGGACCATACCAAGCTAGACAGATCGATGGTTTGCCTTGATAGAAGGCCACTTTCTATGGTGTTGGGTCACCCTGTTTTCTGCTTCCTGCCATAGCAGGGCCCTAGTGTTGGTATTTCAAATTCGTATCATCTCATTGACATCTTTATTACGGCTACATTTACTCCTGCTATAAGGCAGTTAGCAATCAGGCCCTCCTTTGTGTTGCAATCGCTGTCTGAAGCCTGTCAGCGATGTGTCAATTCATCCATTCAGATGTTCCAATTCACCAATTCGCCACTGGTCAGGCCTGGGCTATACCCAGGGATGCTGGGATGCTGCCCGGTTTGGTGTGACAGCCAAACAGATGAAGGACAGGCCGCTCTTTGGTTACACCATTCCATCCAAATGGTGAACATCTAGCCTCAAACCAGGGGCAGCTAACCTGGTGCTCTCCAGGGGCTGCTGGGAGACAACAGAGAGAGCCAGTGTGGTGTAGTGGTTAAGAGTGGTAGACTCGTAATCTAGTGAACAGGGTTCGCTTCCCCGCTCCTCCACATGCAGCTGCTGGGTGACCTTGGGCCAGTCACACTTCTCTGAAGTCTCTCAGCCCCACTCACCTCACAGAGTGTTTGTTGTGGGGGAGGAAGGGAAAGCAGAATGTTAGCCACTTTGAGACTCCTTCGGGTAGTGATAAAGCAGGATATCAAATCCAAATCCAAACTCCCATAACTGGCTCTACTGGAGTCCAACAACAAATGGAGGGTCATAGGTTAGGCACTCCCACCTGAAATAGTTGGGGATCAAGATGTCTGCAGCACAGCACCAGAAGGGGAAAAGATGGACTCAAATAAAATAGACTCCTCGCAACGGAGCAAAGCTCAAATAAAACTAATATCCAAGGTTGGGCAGGAAGCAAAGCCTCTGGGAGATCAGGTAACTGAGGTGAAAGGCCGACCTTCTTATGTCCTCATGGCTCTGCTATGAATGGACAAATCACTCTGTTTCCACCTCATGTCACATTTAGATGTGTTACTCATGCGTCCATTTCATCACATTTCTGCATTAATCTGAGACTTCGCATTAGCCTGAGATTCTGCTTTGAAATATGTATCGAAAGGTGTGTTTCTAAACGCATGGGTTTTTTTTCCAAAGTACACACTTACAAATGCATTTTGATGGACGGATTTTTAGCCAAGAACTGCATTTGGGAAATGTGAAAGCTGGCGAATAGCTAAAATTCTGATCTGAACTTTAGTCTCAGAGGTAAGGTATCAGAGTTTGCAAAATTCAAAGTCCTTAAAACACTCTGTAGTCTCAGTATTAGACCTCTTGGTACAGGGCTGCATATAAATTCAATCAATCAATCAATCAATCAATCAAACAAACAAACAAACAAACAAATAAATAAATAAATAAAATATTACATACCAACTCTCCCTCCCTATATACCTAAACCTGCAAACAGTTGCCTCAGGACTGTAGCATCAAACAGAGTCACACTCTGGCCTTTGACATTAGACAGGGGACTAAGAACCACTGGGGAGGCTGACCCCCTGCTTTCCAGGAAGAACATCCTACCACAGGGAAGAGGCACCTACCTGCTCCATTACTTGCTTTTGTTGTTTTTTCTTCCCTCCCCATTCCCCATTCTGAAAAGGGTCATAGCTGAGTGGCAGATCATCTGCCTTGCATGCAGAAGATTCCAGGTTCAATCCCCACTGGCATCTCCAGGGAGGGCTGGAAGAGACCCCGGCCTGAAATCCTGGTGAGCTTCTACCAGTCAATGTAGTAGATAATACTGAACTAGATGGACCTAATGGTCTGACTTGGTATAAGGCAGCTTCCTTTTGCATTCTGTTTATTAGAATGTGAACCTGCAAAGCATATATCTTTTAATATGTGCAAGGAGCTTATAAAAGTTTTGGTGTTTTACAAGCAGCAGCAGTACTACCCAAACTGTCACAATAGTGAACATTAGATGAAGATAACAATAGTTATCAGAATAATTTGGGATACATGGATTCCCCTCCTTCCATCATTATATTCTGTGGGTTTACCTTATTCTGTAAGCTTCCTTTTTTTGTTTGTTTCAAAAGCACATTTTATTCTTGCCTAGGGGGGATTTCCAAAAATTCTGAAACTGGAGCATGTACAGAACCAACCACACCCTTCCAATATATCGGCTCATTGGCAACCTGCCATTACAGATGTGTACGTGTGTGTTGATAAAACACTTTTTTGGAAAAGAAATATCTTTCTCCCCCCTCTCTTTATAATAGACCTTTGCTAGTTTCCCAATGATGGTGAAAAATGGGAGTTTCAGGGTAGACAAGGAATAACTTCACATAGCATATATGAAATTCACTGCTGCAAGGAGTGGTGGCCAACAACTTGAAATGGCTTTAAAAAGAGATTAACCAAATTCACAGGTGTTGTGCTAAATCTATCAATGAATACCAGTCATGATGGCTCTACATTAACTCCGTGGTTGAAGAAGAACATAAGAAGAGCCTGTTGGGTCAGGCCAATGGCCCACCCTGTTCTCACGGCAGCCAGCCAGATGTCTGCAAGCAGGATCTGAGCGCAACAGCTCTCTGGCCACTTGTGATTCCCAGTACATTGCCTTAGCCATCGATGGAGGCAGAACACAGGCATCATGGCTGGGAGCCATGCCTTTGAAGGCCAGTTGCTGGTCATCACCAGCAAGTCCGCTCTACTTTACCGTGGGGAGGAGTTGAGGTGGACCGCGTGGCCACCCACTCTCCTCCAGGGGCGGGGGATGAAGTCCTGCGTTGCCTGGGGGATCCTGGCCACGTCAGCAACTGGCCAGCCAATCCGCTGGCTGGTGGGGGCATGGCCGGGGCCATTTAAGCTGAGGCGTGAGCTGGAGGGCTTCCTCTTGGCTCGCTTCCTCAATCTCCTGCCCTCCCTCCCTCCTTTTTTCAGGTTTTCTTCATTGGCTTTGCTATGGACCTCGGTTGGTTGTCGCTGAAGGGCCTGGTAGGAATTTTTCCACTTGGCAAATTGGCACAGGCCATTTGGTTTTCGCCTACCTTGTAGCAATCGTCACAACTTAGTTAGGTTGGCGGTTAGACATTCTTTGACCTTATGAGGGGGGAGGGAAAGTGCGGCCATCACCTGCCCCTCCAAGCTCATGGTATTCCATTAAAGGAATCTGGGGGTGTGGATCTTGTCCGAAGCCCAGGGCGGGGTTAGGGCGATGACACGACCCCGACGGGAACACCAGGGGGAGCTCGAGTTGGTCTGCATCGACGGGGCTCCCCGTTCTGGTGGTTTACCCTTACCGGACTCCCTGCACAACGGGCAGGAGTCAGATATAGTCGGGTCCATTCAATGCCTAAGCCAATACCGCTCACATTCTGTAATCAATAAAGTTGTGGCCAAAACGTGCCCAATAACATTAACCTAATATCTGTGTCCTTGTGTGTGTTATTCTTCAATGAGGGGGTGGTTTCAGGGTCTTGACACGCAAGACACTGTTACTGCCATCGTGCCCTGCGCAAGGGCTTCTCAGATGTATCTGAGTGGCTGTCGAAGGAAATGGAAAGATGCTGTAGACAGTTCTTCGGCTGCTCTTTTGGCATGATTACATTAGGATTATTTTTATGCAGTATTTTACTGAGACACCTTCTGTGCCCTGGCTCATTGATGAAATGCCATGCAGAAGGAGCAACGCTTTGTGTATGTTTGTGTGTGTGTGTGCAGGAGGAGGTGGGGACAGGGAGAATTAAAGCTGGATGTAAATGCATGCGCAGAGCTCTCTGCGAAATTTGAGGGTAAGGAATTAAAAACAGAACAATAGAAGACTCTGAATCTATCTGCTCCACTTTGGAAATATGTGCAGCTAGTTCACGACACCAAAATCAGAGAAAGGGTTTCATCGTATCAGAAACAGAAGTCTGTGCCTAGGATCTGAAACAGGATAGGAAAGGACTGTGGCTTAATGGCAGAGCACAGGTTTGCACACTGAGTGTCGCAAGTTCAATTCCTGGCGTCACATGAGACCCTGGGGAGCTGCTACCAGTCAGAGCAGGCAATACTAGGCTAGATGGAGAAACAGTCTGACCTCTTACAAAGGCAGCTTCCTGTGCAGGTTGCTGAAGGATAACTTAACAAGCAACCATCAATAAATAATATTGCAAAGGATTAGCTGTTTGGTGTGAGATGCTGAGTCCTCACTGCTGCTGCTGTGCAAACAGAGATGCTATTTGGCTTCTAGTTAACAGTGAGCCCCGAGTTTTCTGCTAGATGGGGCCTGGCACCAGGAATGTAAGCTGCCTTATACAGAGGAACACCACTGGTCCAGCTAACTCGGTGCTGTCTGGTTGACAGAAGCTATGCTGGGTTTCTGATGGCGAATCTTTCCCATCCCTACTTGGAGGTGCTGGTGATTGAAGCTGGGACCTCCTGAATGTAAAGCACTGAACTACAGGATGTCCCACCTCCCTGGCTGCTCTTTGCAGGAAGTCAATATAATGGCACTCCCTGAAGAATCTGCTTTCTCAAACAGCCCTTGTTCCTGCAGAGATCTCCATCCCATCCCATCCCTCTAGAGCCAGGAGTTAATCTGTAAAAATATTAAAATAATCAACACCCTCAAAAATTAGGATCCACAGGGGCCTGACAGGACTAGGCAGGGCTTGCTTGTGAGCACAAGAAAACTGAGAGCCTGGGGAATCTGGGGACCAGAATGAAACTCCTTGGCGTGCAACCCCTTTTATCAGGTTGAGCCAGGCAAGTATTTGCTTGCATTCAAGAGTTTTCCGTGCTCAATGTGCATTTATTGTCCTTTGGCCCCAAGAGCATCAGTTGCTTCAAATCTCCACTCTCTCATTTCTACTGTGCCACGTAAAGCACACTGTAAGCACACTGGAATGAAAAGAGAGAGACTTCAACATCTGTCTGCAGATAGAGCTGGGGTAATCCATGTGGTCCCTTTCCAGATGTTCTGGACTGCAACTCTCATCATACCCAGGCAACATGGCCAATGGAGAGGGATGGTGCCATGCAAGAATTCCTCCACAGTCCCATCAGTGACCCACAGCATCAGGGCAAGGACCTCAAGGTCAAAGTGGATGTGGATGTGTGGCATGACCTGTGTTTCCCAGTTCGGGTGCACCCTGGCTTAGTAACTGGACTGCTGAAAGGGTCCCCAGAAACTATCACCCCATCTGTACTTTACAGTTAAAGCACTATTATAACACTTTACAATGGTGGCTCTTAAATTTTTGGTGTCACAGATCTCTTTTATGAAAGCTACACCAGAAAAATTCACACAAACGTACAAAATTTTGCACATAGCTTATCTTATTGTACAGTATTGGGAAAGTTGCTTTCTTGTGCTCAATTCACAGACTCCACAAGAGTTCATGGACCACAGGTTAAGAACCCCTGCATTAAACAGTGGTGGCTTCCCCCAAAGAATCCTTGGAAATGTAAATGTAAAGGTGGGGGCTGAGAGTTGTTAGGGGACCCCCATTCCCCTCCCAGAGCTGCAGTTCTCATAGTTGTGTAATAATCAATCCTTCTTCCCAGGAACCTATGGGAATTATAGCTCTGGGAGGGGAATGGGGTCCCCCAACATATCTCAGCATCCTTAGCAAGAAACTACAGTTCCCATAATTTTTTTTGAGCAGGGGGAATAAGCCATTACTGTTTAAAGTGGTATGATACTGCTGTAAGTGGGGCCTCAAGGAGCATGAAGAGTCTCCAGATGCCGTTCTGAATTGCCAGTTCAGATCACTCCTTACTTGGCAAATTCACAGCTATAGTTCAAGAGAAAAACTCTACCTTCACAGAGCAAAAAGCATGCAAGTAACAAAAGATCACTCCCACCTGCAGCAGCTTGTACCGTTTCCCCAAAATAACATTTGCATATCTAATATATTTTTCTCTAATACACCTGAATCTGGAAGAACATGAGCAAAGCAACATGTCTCTACCTAGCACAAAATCCCACCATGAATGCCTAGAGGCCAGAAGTGGCTTGCTGGAAGGAGTGGAGCAGCCAGGCTAGCCTTTTGGCTTATCGAGAGGGGGGAAAGGGGGGACGCAGGTTGGCACAGTGCCAGCACAGGAGCAGAGTCAATGCAGTGCTGCCGCCATTGTGTTTGCACCGCGCTGATCTCCCCGCTGCCTCTCCTTCCTGGTGAGCAACACTGACCCATCTGCCAGGAAGATAACGTCATGGCTCTGCCCCATCCAGTGAGCCCTTCTGCGACATGCCCTATAGATTTTAAATTGTGATGAGCAAACTGGGCTGATATTAGCTTAACGCAGCGGAAAACCTTCAGCCAAAAGGCATATATGCATCAGGGTAAACCCATAACACATTTGACGCTAGCTAACCCTCTTCAGGCATTCATTATCTGTGAAGAACAGGAATTGTCCTCCATCCCACTGCATTAATTACCAATGGGTAATAAACGCAGGAGATAGGGCTAAAGTCTCTCCGTATTACCGACACTGTCAATAATGCCTTGTCCACAGTCCCACATTTGGCTATGCAAAGGAGCATCAAACAGGCCCTATAATCAACCTCTCTCTAAACTGCTTGCCTTACAAACGTTTCTTAATATCCTTTAGAGGCTGGTCTCACTGTTTCAGGAGTATGAGAAGAGACACATCATTCCAAACCCTCTAATCGTGTCTGGAGGGTGGTGGCGGAGGCAGCAGCGACTGAGCCTCCATTGCTCCGCAAAAGAGCTTT